GCCCAGGTGTACCCACTCCAGGTGCCCGCCATCAGGCATGCATTCAGGATCAGAGGGTTCCCTCATCTATCCTGATGGCGGGAGGGCAGAAAAGCCTGATATTTGTCCTTACCCTACACCTACACACCTATTTATTCATCCTGACATGAAGGCTTTAAACAGCAGTGCTGATGCTATGAATCTCCCACTACCACATCACCCCTGGACTGTCTTCCCTTCCCTGTTTTGACCTCTCTCCTCCCCTTCCCCTTCTGTATGCCTCAGATCTAGAATTTGCCTGCAAACTGTACAAAAATGAACAATGTAAGAAAAAAAAATTAAAAAATTAAACCAAGAAATAAAAGTAGTGTTGAGCTACTCACATAAGAGAGCTCTCTACATTAACCTAAGAGCCCCACACAGCAAAAGCTTATATTTTTTACCTAAACCCCTAAAAATAGAGCATTGTCAGAGCACCTGGGTCTGGGGTTCAGGGTAAAGGTTTTACAGTACATGCTGGATCAGCCCTTCTGAGTCCTAGAATTCAGCAAGTGGAAGGAAGAAACAAACTTTCTACTTCAGAAGAAGCCCCAGTGCTTGAGAGCTTCCCTCCACCAAAGCCTGGCCTAGACTGGTGTCACTCATCAGAATCACCTGAATAAGCTCTGCAGCGCGCTCCAGGCCAGACAAATCCAATTTACATCTGAGCATGGGGCCTTGACACTGTTTTGTTTTTTTTTTTGTTTTTTCAGAACTACCCAAGTGATTTTAATCTGCAGGCAGATGGAAGTTACTACTCTAAAGCAACAGTTTTGAATAAGAGGTTATTTACCCCTGACATCTGACAGTGTCTGCAGACAATGAATCTGCAGATAAATGAATCCCCACTCTCAACCACGCTGAGGCTCTCTGTTTGTGTTCATGTTTAGCTAGAAGTGACCATTCAATTACTTTAAATAATAAATAAGAAACACAGCAAGTTAAATGAAGAGATATAAACCATAATATCTTACCTGTCACAAGCAGGGGGCTGCTGACAGACAGTGCTAGGGATGTTGTAAACTTCCCAAAATGCACAAACACTCCCTCACAATAAAGAATAACCTGGTTCTAAGTGCTAATAGTGTACTGTTGGGAAACCTTGTTCTAGAGAAAAAGTGGATGGGATAAACAGCCTGTTTCTTCTATCTCTAGAGATACTCAAAAAAGCAATGAGCAGCTCCCAGGAGGCAGACATGACCCTGACATTCCATCCAGCAAGGCCAAATGAGTTCTGAATGGCCCTTGAGAACACAGTAAATAATGAACTCCCTCACATGGGCCCTCCTTGGCTAGGGTGATGCTGAAGGAGGGCATGACGCTGCTCACTGAAACAGGAGCTAAGATGGCAAAGTAAATTCAAAGGATAATTACTTACACAATTTTTCACAAGAAGATAAGAAATGAAGACTAAATTTTTTCTTCCTTTGATTCCATCTCAGTTGCTGGTAAGCAGCAACATGTGCTTCTAGAATTGAGATTACTGGTATTACTTTTTCATCTAGATTAATACTGTCCAATGGATGAACTGCTGCTAAGGGGCCCTGATCATCAGATCATCTGTATCTGAAAAGTCAATAGAGCTATTGCTAAAAGAACCTGAATCATCTACAACATGCAGACCAGATAACTACAAAGTTATCTGTTGAAAAGCAAAGATCTGTTAGCTGGTATCTGGAAGCAAAGCCCTTGGTTTCATTGTGAAAAGGAAACTTTGACACAGAAAGTTAACCTAATCTTGTATTTCAATGGAATCAGATAAATGAATCCCCACTCTCAACCACGCTGAGGCTCTCTGTTTGTGTTCATGTTTAGCTAGAAGTGACCATTCAATTACTTTAAATAATAAATAAGAAACACAGCAAGTTAAATGAAGAGATATAAACCATAATATCTCAATGTGATAAGTGTTGAATCCACCCAACCTTTGCAAATACAATTCTCTACACATTGAAAAGAAATAGCTAACTAACTTCTAAGGAAGTAAACACATTCGTGAACATTTTATTCTTTAAGGGTTTTTGTTTTTCTTTTTTTTTTTATTTTCACTCAGCTACCTTAAATGGTTATATAGCCTTAAATACTTTTAAGAGAGGAAAAGTACCTAACCTTCATCTTTGCACTACAGTTGGAAATTAAGTCAACTGCTTTAAACAAAGTTTATCAATTTCTTCATGCACTAAGTTTGTAATAGAAAACACAGGAATATTTAAAGATGCCCAAGATACAGTCAACAAACTAATGATCTTCCTGTGTGCGCATGTGTGTGTTTGGAGAGAGTACATATCCCTGAGGTAGGATAATATCTCTCCAATACGTATTTCATGTCTTTCATTCTGCCAAGATGCATACACTCTTCCTACTTGCTTTCACCTGCTTTTGTTCATGGCAAAAAATGCAAGCATTTATCCAAAACACTCATCACACCAACAATTCTTTCAATGACTCAGCAAATCTGCGATTTGGGATTAACTTCACTACTGGTTCCTAGCAGTTTATTCAACCAAAGTGTGTAGGGATTTAAAAATATGAAAAATCATGGCCTACCATCCATATCGAAAATTAATTTGCAACAGCAGGATAAATACAAGCTACGAATACCCAAGTTTATAGGTTGATGATCCATAAATATCTCATTGTGCCATTTCATTTTCCAATTAATTCCTGAAATGAAAAGATAATGCAAATGTGCTACAAATATACTTTGGTGAGGATATCAGCTGTCAGCAGATTTGTCACTCAAAAATGAGAACAGTAAACAAACGCAGTGTTATTCTAAATAATGCATCCATGTTACATTAAATTTTTAACTAAATAGAATTATTGGTAACTTAAAAAATAATTACCTGACCCAAGTTTCTGAATCCAAGAAGTAAACCATAATATGCCATCCTTATCTATCTACCTATCTACCTACCTATCTGTGTATCTACCTTACTTGATGCAAGGCATTGTTTAAAAGTTGCATCTAAAATCTGTTTTTTGGTTTTTTTTTAATACAAGCCTTTTTTTTTTTTTTTGAAAGATTTATTTATTTATACAAGCATTGGGTACAGTCAGAAGCGAGGGAGGGTGACAGAATTCACCAGAGCCAGAGCAGGGAGCAGAACAGGCAGAAGGACCGAGGTACACTGCTGAGGGGAGCAGCGGGCGGCAGGAGAGGTCTGCGCGCCATGTGGGACCCTCGCCAGTGGCCAGGGATGGAACTGGCGCTGCAGAGGCTACAGGCAGCTTCGAAACCCAGCGCTCAACCGCTGTGCCACCAGGGAGGCCCTAAAATCTTTACTTGTAAGTTGATTAAATTAGAGGAGCTCCTTATTAAAAGAGTCCTTTCAGAAGAATTATTTGGAAAGTGAACCACCTGCTCCTAAGTAATATTTTTGTTTCAACATACAAAGTTTCCTTAAAATAGTACACACATTTACTGCTCATGCTCATTAAAAAGTCATCAAGAAATAGAAAAGGCATTTCCCCGTTAACCCATTACCCCTGAAGACAAGCTTCATGGCCAATGGCCCACATCATGATAGTAACACAACCAACACTTCTTTTAAATGACTTGGTCCCTTGTGAGAACTACACAGTCAAGGCTGCCCATAGCAATCAGGGAGGCCTCCCTGCCCCTCCTGAGAAGTGAATGAAGCCTCAGCCCACTTGGTACAAGTCACCCAAAGCCAGGAAGCCTCAACCCAACAGGTAAATTGGCTTCACCCAGCTTCCTCCTCCCAGCAAGAGCAACTGAGAAAGTACATCTTCCCATCTTTCCCACCCTCTCTGGTTCCATTTGCACTTAAAAGAACACTGGATGCACTAAAAGCCAAGCTTCAGGAGTCAATTTTCAGCACTATGAGAAAAGGATTAGGATGAAATAGAATCCAACAGTTAAATCCCCAAGTACAATATTGAAAATTTACCCCTTTGTGTCACTGCTAAAATTGTCAACCTGCACCATTACTCAGAGTTGGCTGCACAGACTCCAGAACAGCTTCAAATAAATCATAAAACCTCCAATATTTTGAATGAAAAAACCAACAGTTTATAAAACCAATCATTTTAGTTCTAACTCAACCATAAGTAACATAAAAGGATTGTGAGGGTTTTTTTTTTTTTTTTTCAAGAATGATTTTTTTCTCTCTTGAGTTCAAAGTGGTTTCAGAACCAAGATGCAGAAAATTAAACCTCTTCCAAAAGGTTTAAAAGCTCGGGTTTAGAGCCGCCTCAGCAAATGCAAGGGATGTTATGCTTTGGAAACCAAAGAAGCATCCAAATACATCTGTACATTTAAAAGACGAACATTTAAACAACAGGCCAAGATGTCTCATAATGTCAAAAAGCACTTTTCAGATTCAGTTTAGGGGAGTTGGTGAGTGGGTTGGGTGGATTTTGAGTAGGAAAGGGAATCATTTGATCCATTTAAGATGCAAAGAAAAGACACATTTTCCCCAACACAAGGGAAAAATCCTCAAGGTAAAGTAAGGTATAGTAATAGGCACTCAGGCAACCCAACATCAAGCTTATTTAGGGACACCACATTTCCTTTTAATGTTTTATTGTTTATCATACTAAATATTCATTTATTCCTACACACAAGCTAGTGACTGGATTCAAACACCTTTTGGTTACCGATTCCACAAGTGGGTTCTAGTGGAAACTTCAGGTAACTAGAAAAATGCCCAAGTTCAAAATGGGAGAATCTTAGAGTGGTTCTGTTCAGCTTCAATATTCAGAATCTCACCCTGACCAAGACCCAGGAGTTAATGTTCTTCTTTCTCCAGACCCCCTCATCCACAATCTTCTCCAAGCTTCCCTGACAAGTAAAACAGTATAAACTAAAACAAATGAAGGAAAAGAACCACATCATGATCTCAGGACAGATATGTGTTCTGTACCCCTGTGCCTGGCCTGTACTTTCTCATGTAGCTGGAATGCCCTTCAGCATTGTTAGCTCTTGCACCCCATTTCCCCCGCACATACTGACCCACCATTCATGCCACTGTAGACACTCCGGTGATGGGGTGACAAGTCCTCCTGCGCCGACCTTCGGAGAGTGCCTTCCCGGCTGCCTCCACCACCGCCTCCACCTCCTCCACCCGCATGTTTGTGATCGGGGCTCACGGCATAATGCTGTTTGAGGTGCTCGGGGCTGGTACCCCTGGCTCTGGGCAGATGCTCCAGGCTGCCACCGAGGGCATGCTTCTGAAGATGCTCAGGGCTGCCTCCGCTGTGTCTGGCATGTTCAGGGCTGCTCCCCGGCCTGTGCTTCTGGAAGTGTTCTGGGCTCCTGCTCAGCACGTGCTTGGGCAGCATCTCTGGGCTGCTCCCAGGGCGAGGGTGCCTTTGCTGTTCAGGACTGCCCTTGCACAAGGGTTTGTGGTGTTCAGGGCTCGGCCCTTTGAGTGCTTTAGAGTGGTCTTGAGTCCCAGTGGCCCTGGGTTTCTGTAGGTGCTCAGGACTGGTGCTCCTGTGCTTGGAGTGCTCCGGGCTGCCCTCTCCCCGGGACTTCTGCAGGTGCTCAGGGCTGCTGGTGCTCGCATGGTGCTTGTGGTGGTCCGGGCTGTCAGTGCTGCCTGTGCTAGAAGTGCTGCTGCCATCACCCACATCCCGCACATAGGGGGCAGTGGTGGCAGCAAGCTGGCACAGGCTGGCCTGGCTGTCGATGGAGCAGCGGCTGCCTGCACAGCCCGCACCTTTCTCCTCATCCAGCAGCACGCAGAGCTCCTTCAGCTCCATGTTCTCCTTCACCACCTCCTCCTGCTTCACCTCCAGCTCCTTCAGCTTCTGCAGGTATAAGGCCACCTCCTTGTGCATCACCCCAGCAGTGTAGCGGCCCAGTCTCTGCCACTCCCGGGACACCCTCTTGCCTTTCTGCCGGTCATCGTCGAGGAAACAGCAGAGGTCCCTCAGCTCCTGGTTGTCCTCCTGGAGTTTCTGGTTGATATCCTGAAAAGAGAGACAAAGCTAATCAAAGGAGGCATTGGTAGGCCCATCCTTTCTAGAAGCCAGAGAGTCTGGAATAAGTGAATTGTCTGTGATGTCAGATGAGAGGGTAAGAGGAAGCTGAAGATTTGTAGCTCTGATTACAAATAAAAATAGGTATTAGTAATGCTTCCTGCCCAATGCACTACTTGCATTATCTCATCTAATTTTCACCAAAACACTTAGGAGATGATTATTAATGGTTCTTGTACAAAAGGGGAAACATAGCTGTCACAAAGCTTTACTTGTCCAAGGTCACCCAGTCAGTGTTTGCAAGAGCAGTCAATTAACAGGAAGTCAAAAAAAACAAGAAGGGGTGAGGAACTGTCCCAATTTCAAGGAAGTAAGAAGGCTGCTTGAGACCTGGGAAATGTTTAATGGTTCCAGGGCATCAGGCCTTTTGGTGTTGTTTTAGCCCATGGCACAGGATGAACAGCACAATCCCCCATGGGGAACAGTATAACTGCTTTCAAGTGGCCCTCCAGCACTACACACCGAACCCCAACTTTCCACACCCATTTGATGCCTCCTGGACAGGGTATCACACACCCCACAGAGCAATGCTAAGCTCCTCAATGGTACCTCCATCCAGCCCTCCTATCATTCTTTATGAGACTCTAGGGCTATTCCTGGCACATCCCTTCCCTCACCTTCTGAGTCAAATAAGTCTTCTGAACTCCATCTGCTAAGTATCTCTCATCTTGTCACTCCCAGATTTAAAACCCTCATTGTTTCGCACCACCCTTAGGACAAACCGTAGCGCCCTTCAAGAGTCACAAGGCCTTCATCCTCTGACCTGGCCTAGCATGGATGGCAATTCATTAGTTCATCTGAAAACACTTAGGAAGCATTTACCACGTTCCGGGTACCAGTCTATGGACACAGCTAAGCCCTTGACATCCCTGGGCTTTCATTTCCGTGACAAAGACTGGCAAAAAGCAAGCTGAGAACATAACATCATGTAGTGAATGTGCCAGGAGGAAAGCGAAAGCAAATTAAAAAAATCTAGTTTTTTAAGAGGAAGAAAACATTTGAGCAATGACTTGTGTGAAACTACATTTTTTTAAATTTCCAAATACATACATGTCCACGTGAAAATATTTTCATCTATAGTAAAGAATTTTCACAGTACAGAAAATGTCTGGAAAAGAATTTTTCTTCTTTTTTTGTTCCCCCCCCCACCAAACCACTTGTGCCCATTCCCCATCTGCCTGCCTTCCTCCCCCACCCTTTCTTCCCTCCCCTGTTCCCTCTAGTAACCATTATATTCTTTTTGCTGAGTTCAAGATTTATTGCTATTAGTCTTTGCATATGAATATTTTGGGGGTATTTATATCTACAAAATTTACAAAGTTCTTACACAATCCAACAACAACAAAACAAACAACCTAATCAAAAAAAGTGGGCAAAGGACCTAATAGACATTTATCTAAAGAAGACATTCAGGTGGCCTGTGGACATATGAAAACCTGTTCAACAACACTTATTATAGGGGAATTGCAAATTATAACCACACTGGCATACCACCTCGCCCCTGTGAGAATGGCCCACATAGAAAAGAACGGAACCAACAAGTACTGGAGAGGTTGCTGTGAAAAAAGGAGCTCTCATCTGCTGTTAGTAGGAATGCAAATAGGGGCAGCCCCTGTGGAAAACAGTAGAGAGATTCCTTAAGAAAATAAAAATGGAAATTCCGTATGACCTGCAATACCTCTATTAGGTATTTATCCAAATAACATGTAAACTCTAACATGAAAAGATTTATTTACACCTATGTACATAGCAGCACTGTCCTCAAAAAAGAACATGTCAGAGAAGAAAATCCCAAGCAGAGAAGAGCAGACATAAAAGCCCTGAAGCAAATGTTGCTCCAGTTGCAGTGAGGCCTGAGCGCCCAAAGCACAGTCAGCGAGAAGAGCAGAGCTGGGAAGGGAGATCTCGGCAGGTCTCCAGGGCAGGTAAAGCTGGCCTGGTCAGCCATGGGGAGGATCTGAATTGTTGACAAGCTGAGGACATGGGTACGAAAGAGGAATACAGAATAAGGAAGAAATCTGGAGACTAGGGGCCTGGAAACATGGCAGCAGTGAACATTAAAAGCACCCCCTCCCATCATGCACTGAGTCCAACACTAGCCTAGCTTCATGTCCCCAAGGACAAGCCCATCCCTTCTCTCCTTGCAATGCCTTCCTTGCCTTCCATTCAACTTCAGGTGGCACCTGATAAGCCACTTCCCCACAGAAGTCATCACTGACTGAAAACTCAGGTCTTGTGACCCAAATCCATCTAAAACAGAGGTTCTCAGAGGAAGGGACTGTATTCTTTTATATGTGAATTGATATCAACACTTCCTCTGCCACTGACTAGAAAAATAAACTACAAAAAAAAATAAATAAACTCCTGCCATTCACACCATGCCCCTCCTGAGAGCCATAGGCCTCAGAGAGGAATGATGTTCAAGACCTGAGGAAGAGGATTTGTGCAGCTTAGTTTTCATCTCCAACTCTAACTCTTGGAATTACCAATTCTGTTTCCTTGCTTCTAATACCCATCGCCTCCTTTTGTTCTTCACTGGCACTTTCTGACCTCAGGTCAGGCCATTTTCATAAGCCTCCCATCTGTTCTCCCTGTCTTGGTCTGTCTTTCCTTCTGCCTTCCCTCACTTACTCCAACCCAAGCCCTCTGCAGCTTGAATGCTCACTGAATATTCTCTCTCCTGTGGGTCAACTCCATCACCTTCCCTTTGCTGGGGAAAAGAAATAAACCCTTTGTCCAGGCCAGAGAGCTGTTTCTCCTACCTTTCCACATTTATCCCCTTCTATGTCAACGAATTATGAACCTTGATTATGTCGAGAAAATACTGTCTTCTCCCCCATATGAACTAAAGAGGAGAGATTTCTCTAATTCTCCCAGGCATGAATGAATGAATGAATAATGAATAAATAAATAAACATTCCTGCTCACTGCTGAATGCCTGAACAACATACTAGAAGGGCCAGGCATGAAAGAATGAATGAATGAGTGAATGAATGAACCTTCCCATTTTCTACTGAATGCCTGCAAAACATACTAGTGAAAGAACTCACTGGACATGATTTTTTTCTTTTATCATAGAGACATTCTAGCTTCTGGAAGGTAGAGTCCATTTCAGTGTCTTCCTTTGCACTTTGACACGCCATGCATACAGTGAACACTTAATATCTGTGCATGACACTGACTAACCCCTAACCCTGTGGCTAAAACAGGTTACAGCTCTAACTAGGAAAAAAGATTTCCTATTACTCTTCACAGCAAGCCCTTGTTATGTTGTAGCCTATAGTATTGAGGGAATAAATTATTCTTTGACATTGATGCTTTAGGGGAAATTAGAAGCTGTACATAATCTGAGGAAATAATACTTAAGTAAAATTAATCTTTCTAAGCTTCAAAAATTACTCCATGTTTAGTTTAATCCTGGCATTTCATAGAAAGTTAAAATCATGTTCTTCTTCATCTAAATATACTTTCACTTGAAATTTTTTGCCTTTAACTACCCAACAACTCTTCCTGATTGATCCATAATTGGGAAGTGAACGGGACCTGTGCTATCTCAGGCCTCAGGGAGTTAATGGCACAAATGAGGGACAATATATACTTCTCGGTATCTCAGCTAGTGTGGAAGCGGGGCAGGTATTGGCCCGTCCAGTTTTCTTTATCACAGTTCCCGCTACCTATTAAGTTTTCTTAGGAATATTACTTACTCTCCAATTTTAAGCCATTTTCTTTGCCTTCTGTGGAACAGTTAAGCAAGCAGTCTGATAATAACCTGTAAGCCAACTTCTTCAAATCTTCCACGTGGAAACATAGGCTTTCTTTTTCAAAACATTGTCTTTTCACTGGCACAGGCCACCAGATATTATCCAAGTATCTAAAGTGGGCTTTTAAAATAGTAGACCGAGTTCCTAGCATACAACTCAAATTTTCATTCTTAAGACTCTGAAGTACTACATCGGTGGTTAAGAATTATTTTAATTTTCTTCATTTCAGGAGGGAAAATTGATATGTTAGGTAGCAAGGAGGAAAATTAATGTGTTGCAGATAATAAGTCTACAGAAATTCACTTTTCTAAAATTTCCCCAACCTTCAAAATGCCATGTCAGAGCAGCCTGAGTGCTGGTACAAGTTGGCTGTGCATAGGCCTGGTTCTCAGGACCGGCTTCCTACACCACCAGGCCCCTCACCGCAATGTCCTTTCACCACCACTTTCGGGACCATACTTCATACCCAGAAAGTGCCAACCAACCAAAAGAAAAGGAAGTCAGCCTATTTTGAATATTTCATATCTGTGACCTTGAGAAAACAACTTCATTGGTGTTTCATCTACATATCATTTAGTCCTCATCATACCTCAAGTGGAATTAATATCCCATTTAAAATGCAGATGAGGTAACTGGGGCTTCAAGAGGTTAACAATTTGTCCAAATTGTTAAACTCCAAATCTTTAATTTTCCCACTACCCAGGCCTCCTGAGTGTTTATAAACAAGTCAGCCAGAGTTTAGATGCAATCACAGGACCCTCAAAAGAAAAAGAACTGATCCTCCCATCCCCCATGTCTACAGCTTAGCACCACAGAATAGCCTTGAAAATACTGAGATACAATTTCAAGGCGCTCATAAAAGAACATAAAAAAGAAAAACGTGATGGCCTTAATTATCTTAAATATGATGTCCTCCACTGAGGATCCCATGTCATCAGATGGAAAAATAAACAACCAAATAAATAAATAAATGTTCCTTCCAGTTAAGATGAAATATGAAATAAATAAATGTACCTAACATTTACTCAGTCGACCACATTTATTGATCACTGAGGTATCCAGGGGAGCTCCAGTTGAGATGATGAAGAAGAGAAGGCTGGCTCTCAGCAGGCTTTACCACAGCTCCTCAGGGGTAGGCCAGAGCCCTTGAAGCTGCTACCTAGCAGCTCAGGGATAATGGGAAGGAGGAGCAGAAGTTGTGGCAGAATGTAACCAGCCCCACCATTTCTGAACTTGATAAAGAAGTGGCGTGGAAAGTCTTTTAATGCCAGATCATGAATCTAGACCACAAGGAGACTTTCCTACTTGGGGTGGATCTACCCTTAACTGACCTCACAGATATCTTTCTAAATGAGGCTGCTGGAATGAAGACCAAAGTCTCCTGCTACTCACTCCTAGGTGTGTGTACACACACACACACACACACACACACACCAGGAAAAGTAAAGACCTTTCAAGTATTTCTGATTTATTATGTGAATGTTTTACACTATTATTAATTGTGCTAATTATCATGCTCTAAATTATTAATAAAGTCTTTAGAAAAGCAATAATTAATTAAACAAACTTCCAAGTCACATTACAGTTCATACCATGGAAGAAGTTTAAATTGGAGGCTTATGAACTATACCTTTGTCCAGCTTTGCCTCAGAAACCCAGATTCTGGAGACACACAGCAATACATTTACAGGTATGCTCCTGATGACAATAACCTCCGTTTTTCTGTAGTCAAGTCCACTGTTAAATCTCCCCGTACATTAGCATAACTTATTGCCACAAACCTCTAGGAGATAGTTATCATTTGCATTTTATTGATGAGTAAAATAAGACTGAGAAATTAATTACCCAAGCTCACCCTACTGGCAAAAGAGGTTTCTAGATGCAAAGGCACCTCTCTGAAATGATCTTCCCACTGCACTGGCCTGCCTGTCATCCCTCAAGAGTCTGCTACTTAATAAGTACTCCACTAGTAATAAATTACACCAAAGGCAGAGTAAGCCTTGGGATTTTTCTGACTGTGGGAGCCTCCTAACTGCACCCACTCTAGGGACTATATGACAATCTGCTGGGACCGCCAGGAAGGGGCACCTCCACCTGGACTGGCCTAGCACCCAAGTGAGCAGTTGCTGTTCTGCCCCACCCCCACCCCCTTTGCCCCAGAATCCCTGAGCTGGAGCGCCGAGGCGATTAAGAAAGCGACTGCAGTCTGAGGCGCCTAGTGGGAGTGGAAAGGGGACAAGAACAGTGTGTGCCTGCGGGAATTTGCTTCCTGAGGTCCCCGCAGTGATTTCGTTTGTGTCTGGCTTTCTATAAACAAAGCAGAACAATGAGAGGAAGGAATATCAGGAGGCACCGGCGCAAGCGGTGAAGGGAGGAAGTTTGCGGTGCAGGGCCGGCAGGGCGGATCCCGCCGCCAGCCCGCGGCAGCCGGCGAGGGGCACGCTCCTGGCACACTGGCGCTTTCCAAGGAGAAAAGAAAGTTTGGGGTGGTAGGGTGATTATTCCTCACACCCTCTTTGTCTTTTTCCTAATAGCAATGCGGGAGGGATGACTCCAAAGGAAAGCATCGCTGGCCGACACTTTGGGTACCGTCCAAACAGCCTGCCTCTCCCAGTCCGGGTGCCTGTGCCCCTCCTTCCCATGATGGGGGAAGCTGAAATCGAACTAGGGTCGACGATGGGGGAGGAAACCCCTGGTGACTCCGCGCACCCGAACTCGGAGAAGGCACGCACGAGAGCAGGTGTGAAACATAAAGGCGGGCCTTAGGGTCCTCCGCACCCGGCGACATGAGCCTGTTCTTAGGGTGGCGGCCGGCGCTCCTCCCGGGGCGTCCCCAGTCTCCCTCCCGACACGGCGCCTCTCCTCACCCCTCTGCCCGCCGGAGGGCTCGTGACGACGCCAGAGCAACTGCGCCCCCGGCCCCCAAAGGAGATGCCCCGGAGCCGCCCCCTCGCTCCGCGTTCCCCGTGCCCAGATGGAACCCGCCTCTCCAGGTCACGGATCTTTCGGACGCCCTGGGCAGGTCAAGGCTCCGCGGGCCCGCCGCCCCCCCCCCACGCGCCCGCCACCCTCCCGGCGCATCGGCCTCCCGGGGCCGTGCCCCCGGCCACGGAGGGCGGCGAGCGATAGGTCGACGTAGCGGAAAAGGGGAGAGGACCCGGCACCTCCAAAGTTGGGAAAGTTTCGGAACGGCATGGGGAGCAGGGGTGCACTCGGCAGGCCGGGGACGATGCCTGGTTGGCCGCGACAGGGGAGCCGCCCGGCCCCACCCCCCGGGCGCCGCGCTCACCTTGAGCCCGCGGATCTCGCCGAGGTGCAGCTGCAGGCGGCGGTTCACCTCGCGGATGAGGTTGCTGTGGTCCAGCATCGCGCTCACCTTCTCGGCCTCGGCGCGCCGCAGGCAGCGGACCAGCTCCTCCTTGCTCCAACGCAGCAGCTCCTCGTCCGACACCTTGGACAGGTCGTCCGCGGCCGAGGCCGGCGACGGGCCGCCGGGGGTCGGGGCGCAAGTTTCCGCCGCCGCGCCGGCGGCCGCCTTCGACATGGTGTCCGCCGGGGCAGGTGCAGCGGCGGCCGGAGGCGCAGCGACTCCCGCGGGCGCGGCGGGGCCGCCTCCGTCCACAGCCGCGCGCTCGGCGACTCAGCCGCGCCGCCCGGGGGCCCGGGGGCCGGGGCGGCAGGGGTCGCGCCGGGCGGCCATCCTACCCCGCCATCCCCGCGCGCGCCCCCGCGCGCCCCCGCGGCCCGGCCGCCCGCGCGCCGCTGCCGGGGCGCGTCCCAGCCCCGCGCGAGCCCATGGCGGGGGCGCCCGGGCCGGCGCCGCCGCGGAGACGCGCGGAGAAGCGCGAAGCCGGCGGGGCGTCAGGCAGCCGCACCCCGCCGCCCGGCCCCCTCCTCCGCCGCGAGGCGAGAGCGCCGCCCACACCCAGCCGCTGGCGCGCTCCCCGGGCAGCGCACTTTCCCCTCGCCCGGCGGCCCGGCTCCCCCTCTCCTCGCCCGCGCGCGCGGGCGCCGCCACGCCTCGGGCCGGCTCTAGCCCGACCGCCGCGGCTGCTGCTGCGCCGCCTCGGCCGCTCGGCCGCCTCCCCGGGGCTGTCCGGGGGAGCCTCGGCTTTGCAGGGAGGAGAGGGGCGGGGTGGAGGACGTGGGGGGAAGTAAAGGCTGCGCGGCAGGAGGAGGAGCCTGGAACTGGGGGGCCCGCAGCCGCACCTCCAGCGCGGGCCCCGCACAGCTGGTGCCGACCCTCCTCGCGGCCCTCCTCCCGGCCTCCTCCCGGCCCTCCGAAGCGCGCTCCCTGCGTTCCGCCGGGGGAGGCTGGGGCGCGCGGGCGCGGGGGAGGCGGGAAGGGGGAAGCGCTGTGAGCGCGGGCGCCCCCGTGTGGCCGAAGGCGCCCCCGCCCCCGCCCCCGCCCCCGCCCCCGCCCCGCCCCCGCCCCCGCCCCCTGCGCCCAGGCTCGTATCTGCGCAGGGAAAACCTGGGCGGCCCAAGTGAGAGATGCTTGGCGTTTTGAAGGATTGGAATTCAGGAAAGATGGAGAGCAGGACCTGGAGGCTCGCCGTTTCTTTTTACTTTAAAAAATGGAAGAAATATTCGGGGTGGGGTGGAGAGGGAGCGTTTAAGAAAATCCTAAAAGTTTGAAAGGGGAAAGAGGCTTCGGGCACTGATCTTTAGGGACGACCCACCCTCAGGCCTCTCTCTTCTAAAACTCCACTACTTTGTGAAGACGCTTCAGGGAAAGATACGGAATCTTATACAATTTTATTTGAAAAACCTCAAAGCCATAAGGGGAAAATAAAATACCTTCATCTCCTACTTCCTCAGGCCTGAATTTTAAGGTCAGCACAGTCACCTCTCTGAGCCAAGCTAGGCCCTTTAGGCAAACTGAAATGCCAGCCTAGGAGAGTTCAAGTTTCCTCTGTGCCTCAGGCTGCCAAGTACTTACAGATTAGTCTTTTTTGTGATGGTAATTTCTGGCACTGGGTCTAGGTGTTCTATCTTTGGCATTCAATATTTCCTCCCTCCCCAGTTCTCCCCCAGAATCGTCTCAGCATTTCCTTAAGAAGTGGATGCTTGATCATGGAGGACAACGGGGTGAGAAGGGTGGGGGGTCGTGACCACTACCTTCCCTTGCTCACCTAGATGGCCTTAAAGCTTCCCTCAGCTTGACTAAACGTTAGACAGATTTCTTCCTGGCTACAGACCCTACCTTCCCTGTCTTAGAGCATTTACTTTAGAAAACTTTCTTTTATAAATTCTTTCTCTGAGGTCTTGAGATGTAGATCCTCTCCCAGTTTCCAGGAATGTCTTTTTAAGGGCCTTGGAACCATCCCTTTGCATAAAGGTAGCACTGTTATAGGACAGGGAGAGGGGCAGCCCAAACCCCGCAAACCTGCCTATTCTACATGGGTTCTGCCATCCGCCGCATCAACACAAAACATAGGAGACTTTAATGGGAAGGAACTTTAATTAAACTAGGAAACAATACAGGTAAGGCAAAGAGTCTAGTTTCTAAATGAAGCACCCAAAGTTACCCATCCCCTCGTGGGTAAAAGTCCATCCATATGAGATCGGCCCAGAACAAGGCCCCAAAGTCTACCACAAGTCTAAAACATCTTCCAGTGGGGACCCACAGAAAAGGGTCACAAACAACTGGACAAGCCCGGAAGGAAAAGAGCAAAATCAACATCCAGATAAAAGCTGCCATGGTCACCTCCCCACGGGTCTCACCCACATCTGTGTCACCCAGTCCACGACCAAAAGACAAGCGCAGTTTCTTCACGTGTCTCTAGGCTCCATGCACCTCCTCCAGGTCTTCTGGCTCCATCCTGCTCCTTCCTTCCTCAGTCTCTTCTTCAGCTTCTCCTCTTCCTGCTCAGCTCCACCCTCCCCTGGGTGGGGCAGGGAACCTGGAACTTCCCCCTTTCCTGGGGACCACCCTGTTACAATCCCCCCTTTTAATTTTTATTCCACCATATCTATGGTGGCACAAATGTTAGGGTGTAGTCTTAGGAGACAGTCTTTTTTTAGGGTTCCAATGTGTGTAAGAGAAGCAACAATTAGTCAGCAGCATTGTCCATGAATGTCCAGTATGACAGTTTCATTACTTAAAAATAGTCCATTATCCAAGCCAAAAGAAAAAATTTGGAGCATTGGCTAAAACAAGATAGCAAATATATCAAAATCACAGGGAAAAAATGTTAAAATGGTTCAACTGATGTAAAAAACCACAAATTTTCTCAACCTTGATCCCAAACTTTTAACAGCATAGCAAAAGTTTGCAAACTAAATCTACTTTTAAACCATTTTTCCTATTTTTGCATAAAATCACAGGGCAGAATAACTAAGCAGCAATTTTTAGCTGGCTCCGTTGGAATACTCCATATAGGATTCAGAGCGAACTGTTGACATCCGGTCCGTGTAGTCTTCTGAAAGAAGTTGGTCTCATCAGACTCCACCTGGGCTTTCCTCTTCTCGAGGGTACCAGGGACTTTTCGTTGGCCGGGTTGTCCAGTCCTGCCAATGGAGGCAAGCTTCCTCACCTTCTTTGGAGGTCTCTGGAACCCTACAAACAAGGCATACAGGTTCTCCTCTTCTTGGTTCAGCTCTGTTTCAACTTTCTGGAAGAGCTCCACACAAAGCCACACAATGAAACTTATGTCCAATTTTTTTCAGTTTAAACAAAATCCCTATGGAAGTTATGCAAAAACAGACTCTGAGATAAGTAGTAAAAGATTACTACCACTATTTTTATGCCGTGTTGGTATCAAGGGGAGAGAAAATGCAAACACAAGTTAGCTTTGTTGGAAAAAAAAATTACAACCTTGCTGCAGATCCTGGTCACCAAAACAAGAAAACTTTGTGGATTTAGAGCAAAATGCAAAAAAATCATCAGTATTATTATGTCAAGGAAAACTTAGTAAATATGAGGTGTATTTCCAAGTCTATTCAGTCCTTAGTAGAAAAGTTTTACTCTCAACAGTTCCATCAATAGGAATCTGTTGAGACCTTTTCTCCCTATATTTTCAGAAACAATTTCTGTAGATGTGAAACAATTGAATTATAATATTATAAGGTGACAATCACCATTGACAATTTACATACATACCAGATACTACTGTTAACATTTTGGACATACCAAAGTTTTTTTACCATTTTCCCAAGTGACAATGCTTCCCTTCCAGTTTTACTTCATTAGGTAAAAGCCAAATAGAACAAATTTATGTAATGCTTTCCCAGGAGGAAAAGGAGAAACTTCGTGGAGTGTCTCAGGAGCTCTACTGAGGTTCCACAAAATTTCCTTGCATCAGTCAAATGACAGGCTACCAAATTTGTACTTGAATTTAGATTTCTGGGAAGCTTTGCCATAAATATCAGAAAAGTAACAGAAACAACAATATTCAATCTCTATGAAGGCACCGGCTTAGTTCAGTAGCACAATGTTGACAATCAAACCATAACTTTTTGTTTTTCTCATAACTGGAGACTCTTTTTTTCAACTTATACGGGCACCATGTATACCAATTTGTCAATCACTAGAGGACAAGACAGACAGACACAAGGACATACAGACATACAACATATAGACAAAGACAGGTTTTTTTTAGTTATGCCTCGTAGAATGTTATGTAACTGCAGTTTTACTCCATAGGCTCAGAAAAAAAATGTCAAAGTCCAAAAAAAAATGTGGAGTGTTGCTGGCAGAAAAATTTGCGGTTGTCATCCTACAAACCTAAGACTTTGGAAATAGGAAGGAAAAGTTTTATTAATCACAAGAGTTACACGACCTTGTTTATCACATTAGGGTTTTCAGTGTTGAAGACTTTTTGTTAGAAGTCAATCCTGGGGTATTCTGTACAGCAACTGAAAGAATAAAAATAACAGTTAACTTTTAAGCAAAAGGAGTCATCTCTTGTTAGCCACCAAGCAGGCACTCCTTGGGTTTCCTGGAATAGAACCTGAAAAAGCAAAATCAAATTATCAGTAATTAACTTTCAATTAAAAGGAGTCATCTCCTTACTTCTGTTAGCCACTCTGGGACAGAAGCTGAAAGAGCAGATTAAACATCTAAGCACAGATTACACCTCCCCCACACTAGGGAGGGGCAACAACAACACAGGTATGAAAACCTGGTACAGTTACATGATGCACCCTAAAGAGTGCTTTCCACAACAGACCTTCCTCAGTAGGAAGCAGAAACTTAGAATCTTGTCTTACACCAGCAATTGAACAAATTCAGGATTCAAAATGGCAAACATGCCCAAAACAAATTGTGTAGACAAAATTCACAGTAGCAAATCCTTCAAGACTCAGACAAAATCTTGTTAATTTTTCTGATCCAGACTTTGCAAAAATTCAAGTTATCTCCAAGAATCCATCAAGGATACTAGCAATTACCAGTTACTGCTTAAGGCTACTCTTTCCTTAACACCCAGGCATACATTTGCTAATTAAAAACACCACCGCTCCACAGTTGGCTTGCAAAACCGGTCAGACACAGGGCAGGAAGTAGTCAAAGACAAAGCAACATACCACTGAAGAACCATT